CTAACTGCTGTCTTAAGTTCTCCCTTTAGCTCTAATTTAATCTGTTTTTTATACTGCCTTTGAGCGTGAAGGTCACACGGTGCCTTTGCCTACTACAAAAGTAAAGCTTCCTAGCTTCCTTGCATGTGTTCCATGTCTTGTTCTAGCTTGGGAAGGATGTCCCGAACCCCAGAGATAGTTTGTTTATAGTAACTTAATATTCCAGCAGATTCTGGACAGAAGGGGGTGGAGGTGGGAGCCTGGAGAACCAATGAGGTTCGCTCCAATGGTGGAGGATCCCTTCCTAATTCCCAAAGGAAATTCTTTAAGACAGAGCGTCTGTTGTCTGGGAGAAAGGAGAGCAGTTAAGGAATGAGGTGGCAGTGCCTGGTCACAGGGAGTCCTGACAGAGCCCGGGACCGAGAAGCTGGGCAGGAGGGCCTGTGAGCCCGGTGCCCGGCACCACCAGGCTAAGCTGCCATCTTTCCAGCATCCCCGATCTGGGATGGAGGGGTGGATGCCTTGCGAGACCCTGACTTGGGGAGAAGTGGGACTCGTTCACCTGCCAGGAGGGGGGGTTGGCTTCCTCTTCCCCTTACATCTCATCTCCCATGACGGTTTGTCTTATTTCTCCCAAATGATGAACAGTGGTATTTGTCTGTTTCTGAACTAGCTCACATTGGAGGAGCACCAGAGCAGTGTCTGGCATCCTCTGGGATGGAGCCCCATGTCCGTTCTCTGCTCACGTGATGCGTTCTTGGGTCGTTAGCTTCAGTACAGTCACTCCTTTTGGTTGCTCTGTTATTTTGAACACGCTGAGGGTTTTTTGGTTGTTTCTTGTGGGAGGGCTGAAAAATCTGTTGGGGTAAGGATGACTCTCCCAGCCAGCTGGAATTTCTTAACTCTTTTATTGAATATAATATACATACAGAAAAGTGCACGTATCGTAAGTGAACAGCTTGATGGATTTTCACAAACTGAACACAGCACCCGTGTCAAGGGACGAAACGTGACCAATATGCCCTCCTTCCAGTCACCTCCGCACCCCAAGGGCAACCGCTACCCTGCCTTCTAACAGCATAGATGCACTTGAGCAGACTGGAGTTCAGCCTTCTCTCACGTGTCAGCCTGACTTGCAGTTGCCCTCCATTTCAGAGTTGGTGGGTCAGCAGGATTGAATTGGGGCTGATTGCAGGGGGTAGGGCTCTGACCCAGCACATGCCAACGCGTACCCAGCTGCTGCTCCAGCCACCCGGGAGGAGCACTCAGGGGCAGGGCTGGCTCCATCCTGGCTGCCAGACGGTCCTCCTGTCTGCAGGGGGCCATCCGGGAGGTTAGCCTGGTGACTCAGTGTGGAGAGGGGATGGGGCTCGAGTTCTCTTTCTGAGTGCTTCTAGAAGTCCTATCATGTGTTCCTGGAAGCGAGAGGCCCACAGAGTAGGATGACTCAGCGGCATCTATGTGAAAAGTAGCTGAGGTCTGCGCCCTGGGAAAACCAGCATGTGGCCTTGGGTTGGACTTGCCCCATTCGATGCAGCCTGTATTGTTTGGAAACCATTCTTCCCTCCCCCGCTACCCCCGGCACCTATGCCAGGCTCTCTGTTTACTTGTGTGACTCCAAGCACAAGTGCCAGCTGCCAGCCTGAACCTGTTTGCCTCCTTCACTGGCCCCCACTGACCTGACTCCACATCACGTGTGCTCATTTCACTAATAAAAAACCAGGTTTGCCTCTGTGCTCGCCCACATGCATGCCATGCATCTTTAGACTCTGCCCTCTGCTTCCTCAGCAAAGAGCTGCTCTAACTGTGCGCAGGAGGGGCAGAGGGCTGGCCAGCGCTAATGGTCAGGAAGAAGTGCTTCTGGATTGGTCGGTACGGCTGGACAGAAAGGCCCTCCCTTGGGGAGCACCATGTCATGCCTAAGTGGCAGTAAGATTTTCCTCCTACACCTTCTTGACACCGTGTCTCTCTGTTCTCCGTAACTTCCTTGCCCTGCCCAGGGGCGCTGTCCCGCAGACGCAGGGAGCCCTGGGGAGACGTGACTTGTGTCTCCACTCCACCTGGGAAGCCAGTAGAAGAGGTGTGGGGCAAGTTACCTCTGACTCAGGCTAGAAAGGTCTTGGGAACCATCTGGTCAGAGGTTCTCTAACAGAGTGCCTAAGAATCACCTGAAATAGACAGGTTTTTCAGGTTCCCCCCCTCCCCCAGATCCAGGCTGTGGCTCAGAAATCTGTATATCTGGAAGGCATTCCAGGTGATTCTGATGCAGGTGAGCCCAAGCCATAGCTTGAGGAACACTGATCTGGATAACCCCTTCCCCAGGTCACAGAGGGGGAGAAAGCAAGACCCCGAGGGCTCACATGCTTCCTCCAGACCATATGGAATAAGGTCCAGAACTTGAGCCCCACCTTCGTTCCGTGCCTACACTGCTCCTGTCTCCTCCCACACACTGAACCTGCCCAAGGGGCCCTGATCCCCAGACTGCACCGATTCCTCCTTTGTCAGGTCTCTTGCCCTACCCTTCCCTCTTACTGCCGCCACTGCAAACTGGACGTTAAGACACAGAATCGGGTTTCTTCAAAGGCCAAACACCTTCCGGCCTCCCTCCCATCCTTCCTCTTCCACCACCTACCATCCCCTACTCTCCTCAAAATGCAAATTACCCCCTGCCCCGCCCCTCCATCCATGGGACAAAGTGGGAAGAGCCTGGCCTCCCCCTCCATGCTACCCCTGATTCTTTTTTTTAATTTAGAACAATATTTATTAATGAAATATATTCACCTTAGAGAAGTCCATACAACACTCTCAATATAATAGAATACTGTTGACACAATGCAATCATTATAGCTTTAACAACATGTTACCAAAAGATGGACATACATGAAGCTTTTATTTGTGGTAGTGAGGGAAATAACATTCAACTCCAAAAAATAATGATGAGATACACAGGCGTCAAATTGCCTTCTCATATTAAGAAAACGTGTAGACACAAAATTATTATTATTTTTGAGAGAAGTAAAAATCTATTCCAAGAAAACAATGTATCTTGATAATAATAGTCATAGTCTACTTTTATTGGGTGCTTGCTGTAGAACAAGTATCAATACTATGCCAGCCCATTTCACATGGATCTCACCATTCGATCCTCACAGTAACCCTGTGGTTGGTGCCATTAGTAGAAAGTCTAATATAGGCCTTTAGAACAGCAACAATGCCTTCCTGTTGCACAATGTTAGTGTTTTTTGGGGAAAAAAAAGGGCTGCTGGTGTCTCATGTTTTTCTCTCTGTATTTTGGGATAATTTAAAGCATTAGCTAAATATTGTTGAAAAAATTTTTTTTAGTATTTTGTTTCGTTTTGCATTTTTTGGTAAGGCAAGCACAGGGTAAACATTCAAACTTTACGGACAGTGAAAAGTAACTCTTCCCTCCCAGAGCTGACCCCTAGTCCCTCAGTACTCCTTTCCAGGGGCCATTACTGTTTCAGTTTCTCCTGAATCCTTCTAGAAAAATTCTGTGCAAACACAAAGTTACAGTGTACACACATGGTGCCACATATACACACTATACCTGGCTTTTTTCATTTAAGAACATAGCTTGGAGATGGGAGATGGGCCAACATCCTTACTTACAGACCTGCTGCAGTCTTTTAATACATGACCCAACCTATCTTTCTGACCTTAGAGTCCATCCCTCCCCTGTAACGACTTCTCTACATGTTTTCCCTCAAATGCCGCCTTGCTCTTTCTTGCCTCCATTCATGTGATACCATCATCAACTTGGCCAATAGCACTTCCTTCCCATCGTACTGAATCCTCCCCATCCTCCAAGGTCCGGTTGAAAACCCTCTTCCTCCAGGAAGCCTTCCTTGACCATCTAGCCCTAGTCCTCTCGTCCTCCTCTGAACCATCAGAGCACTGAATCGTTTACTTGTTATCTGCTATTATTACCTATTATATTCTGCTTGGAATTGTGAGCTTTAAGTAATTCCCATCTACAGACCACAGCCTATGCTTCTAATTACCCACCCACTTAGCAACGTGCCTTGCCCATAATAAGTACGTAAGGGATGTTAGTAGCAGTGGAGCCATGCAATGCTAGAGCCAAGGAGACCTCGGCCTGGAGGTAGCTGGTTGATTAGCTCCGGGACTTTTCTCTGCCTCTCGGGCTAACAAACATCCAAAGCCTAACTAGCAAATCCAAGGCAGATCTTTCTCTGGATTCTGCTTCCTCTGTAGTAATCAACTTCCCTGTCTGTCACCACCCCTCCTGTGCCAGTGAGGCCAGTTCCACCCTCCTGCTCCCCATAACAATGTCTCTTGCACATCCCTCGTCACTCAGTCCCAAACAGGTCATTATTAACATCCCTGCGCTTGCCAGTGGACCCTAGAGCTTGACCCCCATCCCCACTCCAGCTGATGACCAAATTTCCCATTCATTGCAATACATGAGCTAAGCCGATTTCAAGCTGCTTATCTCGAAACCTCTTTGCACACTTGATGTCCCTGTCTCTCCATTTAAGACAAGCATTCCTCTTTCACTAAGGACTGACCATCACTGCTTGCTTGGTCCACTGCTTGCTTACAAACACGGCAACGATTAGTTAATTCTAGACACACTGGCAGCTTAAGTTCTCGGGCCTGAGCCTAACTTTCAGAAAGGAGCCCTTTATTCTTTGTTTACTGTAGAATAAATGTCCTACAGAGGAGAAGGGCACTCTCCTGCCTAGGGTCCTTGCAGTCTGAAGGTAACCTGGGCATCCTCAGCTGGGCGGTTTGCAGGAATCTGAAAGCCTTACACTGTGACTCGCAGTTCAAATGCACAAAGCAGGCTCAGCTGCTTGGAGAAAGAGCTGTCTGAGACCTGTGTGGAGCAAGTCTTTAGAGAGGACGTTGTGCCCTCTTTTAACAATACCAGAACTGCTCTCCCCAACCCCCCAAAATAACCTCTACAGATCAAGAAGTTTCTGACTTTCTCATTAAATAGTCATCTCCTCAAAAAAGTATTTAAGATCTCTACTTACCTATATAGGTCCACTTGGATCCTGCAAAGAAGAAAAAGAAAAAAAGCAAGTAAGTACAACTGAGCTTGAACAAGTTAGAGAAAACATGGCAGATTTTATTTTTAAATGGGTGAAATTAAAAGGAGGTGGATGCCCAGAACTTCAGACTTTTTCAATATGGAGAAAAGGGAATCCTTATGCACTGCTGGTGGGAATGTAAATTGGTGCAGCCACTATGGAAAACAGTATTGATCTATAGGTTGCTCAAAAAAATTAAGAACAGAACTGCCATATGATCCAGCAATTCCACTTCTGGATATTTATCCAAAGAAAACAAAAACACTAATTAGGAAAGATATATGCACCCCTATGTTCATTGCAGCATTATTTACAATAGTCAAGATATGGAAGCAACCCAAGTGACCATTAATAGGTGAATGGATAAAGAACTGAGATATATATATATATTCCATAGATATATATATGCAATATTACCCCGCCATAAAAAAGAATTAAATCTTGCCATTTGTGATTACCTGGCTGGACCTAGAGAGTATTATGCTAAGTGAAATAAGTAGAGAAAGACAAATACTGTATGATTTCACGTATATGTGGAATCTAAAAGTCCAACCAAATGAGCAAACCTAACAAAAGAAACAGAGATACAGAGAATAGGTGGTTTCCAGAGGAGAGGTGCATGGAGGGAGGATAGAAATAGGTGATGGAGATTAAGAGGTACAAGCTTCCAGTTGCAAAATAAATGAGTCACTGATATGAAATGTACAGTGTGGGGAATATAGTCAATAACTAATATCCTTGGATGGACATTTTAATTGTATAGAAAAAAATCACTATGTTGTATAATAGGAGCTAACATAGTGTTGTAGGTCAATATACTTCAAAAACAAACAAACTTACTCATAGAAAAAGAGATCTTATTTGTGGCTACCAGAGGCAGTGGGTGAGGGCAGGGGGAGTTGGATGAAGATGACCAAAAGGTACTAACTTCCAGTCATAAATAAGTACTAGGGATGTGATGTACAACATGCTAAATATAATTAACACGGCTGGACGTTACATATGAAAATTGTTAAGAGAGTCCTAAGAGGGGCTTCCCTCGTGGCGCAGTGGTTGAGAGTCCGCCTGCCGATGCAGGGGACGCGGGTTCGTGCCCCGGTCCGGGAAGATCCCACATGACGCGGAGCGGCTGGGCGCGAGAGCCATGGCCGTTGAGCCTGCGCATCCGGAGCCTGTGCTCCGCAACGGGAGAGGCCACAACGGTGAGAGGCCCGCGTACCACAAAAAAAAAAAAAAAGAGAGAGTCCTAAGAGTTCTCATCAGAAGGAAAAATTTCTTTTCTATTTAATTTTGTACCTATATGAGATGATGGGTGTTCACTAAACTTATTGTGATAATCATTTCATGATATATGTAAGTCACATCATCATACCGTACATATTAAATTTATACAGTGCTGTGTGTCAAGTATATCTCAATGAAACTGTAAGAAAAAAAATTTTTTTAATTAGAAAAAAAAAAAAACCTTTTTCAGAGTCTGTGTCAGAACAACTGCTTCTCAGAGCAACTGTGCTCCCAGGGGAGACAAAGCACAAGGCAGTGATTTTGTGCAGGGGCCCAGGGGTTAGGGAGGGCGCTTCTTGATCAGAAGCCTCCCATATATCTTAGAGAAGCCAAATTTCATCACCTGAATGGGTAATAAAGTCACAAGGCTGAAAACTCAAAAGCCACCAAGAGGTACACAGTGAAAGTGATTCCTGCCACCCGAACTCCCTGCTTCATTAGACTTAGTTCCACCAGCTGATGGGAACACTTGCACAGTGTGGCTGCACACACAGGTCTCTGTATTCTGCCCCCCCTGCCTTTTTGCACACGAATGTTGACATACGGGAAACCCTGTTTTGCATCTTGCTTTTTCCCACTTAACAACACAGCCTGGAGAAGGTTTCACCTCAGTACATAAAGAGGAGAAAACTAATCCGCAAAGGCAAGTTTTTCTTTGAGGAAGCTGCCACCCTCATCTGAATTAGAATTCCAGGGGCAGTGGCAATGTGGAGGAGAGGTCCTGCCAGGAATATAATGAAAGTCACCTATCACTTCCCACTCCACACCCTTCACTCATAAAAGTCCTTTGTGCTGACAGCAAAACATAGTTTTAAAAAGTCATTGCATAGTGCACCCGAAACTAACACAACATTGTTTAATCAACTATGCTCCAATATAAAATAAAATTTTTTTAAAAGTCGTTGCATAAATAACCAACAAGGACCTACTGTATAGCACAGGGAACTATATGCAGGGAACTATCTTGTAATAACCTATAAGGGAAAAGAATCTGAAAAAGAATATATAGGTATATGTATAACTGAATCACTTTGCTGTATACCTGAAACTGACAATATTGTACATTAACTATACTTCAGTTTTTAAAACGTCGTTGCAGAGCTGTGCTCTCTCATTACCCTGCTGGCACACCTCCCTCTTCATCTCCAGGAGGAGCCTGAGACCCCAAACTGAGAGGGTGTCTCGGGACACATCACAACGAGGGGACTGTTCAACTCCTATGTCCCTCTCTCCCAGCTTCTCCCAGTGCCTCTGAGATTCTCGGCCCACCAGGGTACTGATGCAAGAGGAAGACTCACATCTCCTTTCTCTCTTGGGAATGATTTGCAGTAAAACTTACCTGACCAACCATCTGGTAGTCACTTATCACAACTGGGCATTTCCTACTCAAGCCAATGGTGGTTTTGAAAAGCGAAAAGGGGATTTTGTTTGTTTTTTCTTTGTAAGCTGGTTTAATGTCCTATTTTTTTTGTTGTTCTGTTTCATTTCTTTGCCTCGGTCTTTTTAATTTTCAAATTCAATTGGCAATTTTTCAAATTACACTTGTACATGGTTTAAAGAGTCAGATGGTTCTATAAGGCTTTTAATAAAAATATTGGTCCCCCGACATTCCCTAGTCACTTTCCTGCTCCCTATGGCAACCACTGTGAATTCTTTTAAAATGATTCTCTTGGCATTATCTCATCTCTATAAAACATGCCCATGTTGTGCCTTCATGATTTGCTTTGGCTTAGGCATTATTTGTTGACATCCCACTTTGGAAGAGATGGATTGAGGGCTCTTTCACATACCTGCAACCGGACACCTCGTTTTATAGATGAGAAAATGAAAGTCCACAAGGAGAAGTGGAAGATCAGTGCCTGCTAAGAAGCATATCTCCACATTTCCCATCACTTCCCACGAACTTAGAGAATCTTTGAGTCTCCTTCCCAATCTTTGGGGTAGAGGGGGGAGTCCAGACCCCTTAGAGTATTCGATCAGCACTATGGACCTTTCCTCCCTAAAAATGCCCACTAACACAACATTGTAAAGCAACCATACGCCAATAAAAATTAATTTTTAAAATGCCCATAAGCTTGGACACAAAATTTCATGTACAGTTAAGGAGGTCCATAGAACCATGTTAGGTGTTTTTTTGTTTGTTTTGTTTACTGTAAGCTTCTTTGCCATAAACATCTTCCCCGCTGCATAATTAATTGGCATTAAGACAATTTTTCTGTGAAAGATCAAATAACTAGTTGAAAGTTTTGGTTTGACAGTTTGGTTTCCACTGGTTGAAATGCATTAGCATTTCTTCCAGTCAGTGATGTTACTGATGTCTTTATCCAGCTGACCGATGACGATCATTTGCCCCAAGAGTTGGTTTCTTATTTTGAAACACACTACATTGGAGGAGAAAGAGGCAGAAGGCCTCGAAGGTGCAGAGTTGAGCCAACATTTCCCACAGAACTTTGAAACATCTGTCACTAGAGATGTAACAAGATGCCAAGAATACACCACAGGGTAGAGGCTTTCACAGTGCAACACAAAGCTCAGGTACAAACATGCATCCCTGTATTTGGAAACTGATACCTCTCCTAATGAAGGAAGAAATGTTAGCGAGAACGAAAAAGTGCACTGCCGAATGAGGAGATGAATCAACAAACCAAAAAAGAAAGAAAGAAAGAAAGAAAAAGGTATAAAATACTATGAATGAAAGACTTGGAAGACAAATACTTAGGTACAACCCACAAAATAAAATCAGTTATTTGCACAGTAGTGCCATGAATCTACACACGTTTTAAGTGTATTCAAATATTTTGTATTTTGCAATAAAGTCTCTTAAATTGTTATTTCTTATGTTTCACTGTGTCCTTTTTTAAAAAAATTTTTATTGGAGTTTAGTTGATTTACAATGTGTTAGTTTCCAGTGTACAGCAAAGCGAATTAGTTATACATACATATATGCACTCTTTTTTAGATTCTTTTCCCATATAGGTCATTACAGAGTATTGAGTAGAGTTCCCTGTGTTATACAGCAGGTCCTTATTAGTTATCTATTTTATATATAGTAGTGTGTATTATGTTAATCACAATCTCCCAATTTATCCCTCCCCTCTCCTTTACCCCCAGTAACCATAAGTTTGTTTTCTACATCTGTGACTCTGTTTCTGTTCATTATGTCCCTCTTGATATCCCTCTTTTACTTTTATTTTATTTTCTACAGCAAAATTGCCTTATGGGTCAATTAGTTACGCAGCGAAAGTGCTTGCGGCAAAGGTGCTTACAGGCGAAAGTACACAGGGCCCCACAGACCCCCTGAAACTTGCTATGGACCGGATGGGAGTTAATAGTCCCCAAATTAACCTCCTCTGAATTAGCAATTGGATGAAGACATCCAGAACTGTGGGAAACCCAAACTTGTATGTGACCCCCAAGTTTACTGCTAGCCTTTTACTGAAACAGTAGTGAAAAGGAACAAAACAGCCTGGCTTTGGAACCAAGCTACAGAAGACTTCAAACCTCTTTTCTGAACATTTCCCCTCAGTGTTCTGTTTGAGGGCTTCTGTTAAAATAGAATCATGGATTTCAGAGGCAAAGGAAGCCAGGTGGTTGCCACTTAGCCAGGCAGAGCACTTGGAGGCCCAGGTTGTAGAACCTCACAAAGAACGGGGAAGTTTGTCCTCACTGCCTCCCTGAGAGACATAGGCCACTCGGTGATCCTGGAGGCCACCAGGAAAAACATCTGCTACCTCTGAGCAGTCCTGCCTTGGCCAGAAATTTTAATTGCACCTGCACCAAAATCAAATCATGGCCGTAATAACCTACATCTTCTGCTACTTTCCCCAAAGCTTGCTAAGCTGCGGTTTCCATGTTGTTGCAGCTCTCATCCTCAGATGAGGTATCGGCATAATACTCTGGTAGGCTCAGGGCCCAGTGTGATCGAGTGCATCAGGGAGTGTAAGGGCTCAGGTGGTGACACAGGACTGGGGAGTTGTTCTTAAAAAGCAGCAGCATCAGAGCAATCTTTCCTGCCCTCCTTTCTCTGAACGGACCTGCTTGGCCCTCAGGACTTGGTGCTTTGGGTATAAAGGGCTGTGCCTGGAGGGGCTCAGAAGCTGTAGTCTGGGGAGGAGAAGCACGGTAAAATGAAGGGGAGGGTGGGCTGAGTCAGGGGTTCTCATTGGATGAAGGTCAGGGCCCAGCCTGGTTCATTCAGTTGAGCCAGAACTGAAGGCAGGAAGAGTTTATAAAGGAAGTGTGCCCCTTTGCTTTTTGGAAATGTCCCCTCCTGGTTTCCCACCTTTAGCTTTAGGGGCAAGGGTCTTCACAGAATTAAACTGACCCCACAGGCAGGCCAGGCAAAGGCCCCTGCGGTTACACCTCAGTAGCTTCCTGAGAGCACTGTTCCCTTTCCAAGAAGGTTATCTGTTCTATCCGGAGCCTTGGGAGGCCCAGCTGGATGCCTGTTAGAACCTGCAGACCCAGCTTATACTGGGCAAGGAGAATGTCCTGGGTGCCTTCGGAGAAAATGATGTTTACAGAGATTCGGGTCAGGGGTTCAGGGCCCTGCCTGCTTCCTGTCCTGGGTGCTAGAACCCACGTCCACGCAGCCCAAGGCTGCGCAGCTCTCCACACCAGGCTCAGGCAAAGCAGGCTCTGCAGAGTTCATTGAAATGTTCCCCTACAGCAGCGGAGAATTCCTAGGTTATGTCTGGAAGGTAGATGCAAGGCTTCACCTTATTATGCCCCTTCCCTCCCTAACCCTGATGTTCCCCAGTGCCAACAGCTGGGAGTTTAAGTGCCCCAGGCGGAGGGCGGACCACACTCTCACCCTGTTGCCCAGCTTAACCCCGCTCCACCCTGAAACCTTGGGTTTAATACTGACACTTTACACCTCAGTGAGTTTTGCTTTGACCTTGTCCCTGGAGGCAATTAAAAAGCCAAGAAACCTGCCTGAGGAATAACAGAATTTTAAAAGCTGTGTTCTTAGAATCAAGGGGTAAGCAGGCTGCCTCCTCAGTGTGGGGTGAAAGTAAATTTTTTACTGAAAACTTTCCCCAGCCCAACTGGGAGAAGGGGGAAGGGAGAAGAGTGAGGGGGAGAGGAGGGTATGGGAGGTCAGAGAAGCAGAGGGGGGAGGATGAGCTGCCCCCAGAGTGAGGGGAGTAACAGGCTTTCAGGAAAGAGGGCCAGTAAAGGGCTTCTCTCTCGTCCTGGAGCAGCTTGGAGCTCTTTCAAGTCAATCAAACTTTGGGTCTCAGGGCAGCTTTCTTCAGAGGGGAATCTGTGTCAAAGTTCGCAGTTTTATAAATTAATTTCCACTTTCTTGTAACTACTTTCTTCCACCCACCTTCTGCCCCACCAGATGAGGAAGATACTACCCAGCATTTCATGCCAGCTAGTGGACTCGAACTGAATTAAGAAGAATGGCAAAGCTGCTGACAGCCAGGCTCCCCCTGCCTCCCCTTGCCCTGCCCCATGGGCACCGTGACCTCTGAGGGGAGGGGGCTCCAGCTTTCATGCCGCTGAGCAGGACCAATTTCCCACTGCCACCACCCAGCCAGGGAGGATGGATTGTCAGCCATTCTAGTCACTTTGGGCCCTTCTATAAGTGTTTCAGCCAAGCCTGGGTCCAGGAATGGTCATAGCTACAAATGTCCGTACAACTTGTCAAGGGCAGGAGCCACCATCCGTTACTCGGGAAGTTTCCATAAGTCACCATCTACTCCCCCAGAAAAGCGCTCACCCAGCTGTGGAGAGGCAGGCAAAAGCCCTGACCTTGGCTGCTCTCTGCAACTCACTGCCCAGACCTGAGCCTACAGATGAGGCCCCTCCATCTCCTTCTGCTACTGGCTGGGCACCACCAGCCTCCAGCCCTTCAGGGTTCAAAGCCCTAATTACACTCAGAAATAAGCTGTGTATGCTCGTCTGAGGGCACGTACACACACACGCGTACCAGAAGTAGAGCCCTTCTGGAGAAAAATAATGATGCATCATTCCTTTGACTTGGAGGTGAAACAGTGGTAAAGAGCCTCTCCTCCAAAGAAAAGTACCCACCACTGAGCAAACCCTCCCTGGTAAAGAGGCTGCCCAGAACACCCCGGTCACTCCACCATGTGCACGTGGATCGAGGCACAATATTTGAAATCCCGGTTCTGTTTCTCCTCCCCGGTTAGCAAATTACCAAACCACCTCTCCAGAGCGGGAGTGCTCCGAGAACACACAAACATATTTTAATGCGAAGACGACGTGCGCCCTGGCAACCGGAGCCGATCCTGCATTCCACAGGAAGACGAAGCATCCTTTGTAAAAATGTGCTATTTTGAGACCATGCAGGTCCTTCCCCGCTCCCCGCAAATGATTTTTATCATTAACGAGCCCCGTGGAAATCCTTCTGCCCAGGTGTGGCTGATCGCTCGGGATTGTTAGGAAAGAAGAAACTTTACCGTTGTGTGGGGTTGGGTTAGAAGGCTGTTCCTTTAAGACCACGAGTAGGAGGACGGCAGCCGCGTGCAGGCTGCGGAGGGGCATCTTCTGGCGGCTTCTGCGGACAGGAGGAGGGAGCGGGCTGCCGGCAGCTGGGCTTCTGTCTTTCTGCCTCCGGCGCTGGGGCCGGCGGGGCGCGCACCGGGAGCTCGTGCGTGCAGCCGGGGCGCCAAGGGCGAGCACGTCAGTTCTTTGGGCTCCTGGCTCCCCGCGGGCTGCTTTTATGGAGAGACTTAGTCCTAAACACGTGATGTCACCGGGTGGAGGGTGGCGGGAGAACGCCCTGCCTACGGGAGGTCTGGCGCCCCAGTTCCAAGGTGAGTTGTAACCCTGACTTCAGCAGCTCTCCGCGGGACAGCGGCTCGGGCGCTCCCCGGAGCCGGGGCTGACCTGGGAACCCACTTCTCCGTGGGAGCCGCGGGCAGGCGTGGGGGAGATCCGCCTGCCTTGGCCCGGTCGGGAGGGGGTGCGTCTAGGGACTCGCTTCAGTGGCCACGCCCTTGGTCTGTCATTGCCCTTACTGAGAAGCCCCCGTAGTACAATGCCATTTGGGCAGGAGCCTCCTCTGGGCCCCAATCGTGTGCCTGCCTGGACTGGGCACACTTTAGGGACTGGACGACACAGGTGGGGTTTGGCGAGGGCTGCATTCAAATTACGAATTTCTGTGGACGGTACAGTGGGTCCTGGTAAGGTCTTACCTTTGAAATTTAGACGCCAAGAAATTAACAGGTAAATAGCACAGTGGGGATACAATGTGAAATAGAAGCAGATATACAGATAAATAGACTAAACAGCTTTACTAAGCAATTAGACTTTGCTCTCATAACAGGTAAGTAGGCAAGGCTCATACTAGTTCATAATATCAGTAGTTCTTTAGGAAGCTGGGAGGGGGGGCGTCCCTTCTCTGGGGTAGCGGTGAAAGAAAGGGACTTAACGTTATTTACTGAGGACCTACTCAGTGTAAGGCTCTGTACCAGGTGTTTTGCATCTTGGCTTGGCTCGGTGTCTGAGTTCTGTTTTCAGTGCAGATTGTCATCACCTGTTGCTCGTTTCTGCCCGCTTTCCTCACGTGTCCATATTCTTTTAAATATATGCATACATCTAGTCATATACTTGCGGTTCTGACCCTCTTCGTATTTAGTCCATGTTCAGTTGTTAGGTCAAGGGTCTTACTAACTTGCTGCCCCCAATGCTCACGACGTCCTCCTGCTGCTGTTACTGCCGCACACTGTCCCCACCACTACCCTTGTCATTTGTGCTTCTGGCTTCCCTGGGTCCTCTGAACGTGTCTGCCCTGCTCCCCATGCTGGGCTCTGTCTCCTTCCTGCTCTGTGACCCTGCCTATTCTCCTGGCTCCCTGCTGCCTACAGATATGGCTCAGATCACATGGTCTGCTGAAGGGTGCCCACCCCCAGCCCTGGTATATGACCTTTGGTTTTGTTACCTGGACCAGCCTGCCTTCTTCTCTTGACCACAGCAGCCTGACCAGCCCACACCTCTCTGGTCTCTGCTGACCCTCAGCCTAAGTGGACTCTCAGGCTGGCCTCAGTGACCAGAGAAGCTGCTTGTCCGTGGTAGTTTTGGAGGGATAGAGCAGCTTGTCTGCTGAAAGCCTCCAGGAAGCACATGCCACCCACATTCCAAGGGGTGCTACTGTGCTGTCCCTATCCTCTCAGCTATTGTTTGGGTTAATAAAGGGCTTTGAAGGCTTTTTAAGGAAGTAGTTACAAAGACAATCTTGTTACAAGCGCTTTCAGAGGATGGTAGACTTAAGGATGACCTTTTCTGCCTGTAACTCTTGATCAAGAGCCACACCTCGGGGTGGTGAGTGAGCATTTCACTGTGGCTCTTGAAACATCCACGTCTCTGATTGGTCATCAAGGTCTTTAGAAGATGACATGCGCTAGAGGAACACAGAGGTTGGGGAGGAGCCACTGCAGGTTCAGAAATGCACACCATGGAGGTGAAATCACCCCACATTTCACCACCGGTTCAAGGGAAACCGGGCTGGGCACACATTTTGTTACTCCCACTCTGTCTGGCTAAACAGTAAGTCCAATTTCTCCTCGAGCATGAACCTCTAAGCGTTCCCCAACGACTCCCCAGAGACAGAGAAGTCTAAAAAGGGGATGGATTTAATAGAATTTTGTGAACTGGGTTTGATGGAGAGAAAGGAGAGGGTTGGGGTTTTTACTGCATAACTAGATCAAAGACCCGGTTAATTAGTAAAGAATGGATAGCAATTAAAAGAGAATTGAGAATGTAAATGGAGACCCAATTGTCCTAAGTGCTTTAAGTTGTTTTCTTCTAGTTTTATTGAGATATGATTGATAACATAGCACTGTATAAGTTTAAGGTGTACAGCATAATGATTTGACTTACACACCTCATGAAATGATTTCCACAGTAAGTTCAGTGAACACCCATTATCTGGTATACATACAAAATAAAAGAAAAAGAAGAAATTGGTTTTCCCTTGTGATGAGAACTCTTAAGATTTGCTACAGCAACTTTCCTGTATAACTTCCAGCGGTGTTAATCGTATTTATCACGTTGTACGTTACATCCCTAGTATTTATTTGTCTTATAACTGGAAGTTTGTACCTTTTGACTGCCTGCATCCAATTCCCCCACTGCCCCCACCTCTGATAAGCAGAAATCTGATCTCTTTTTCTGTGAGTTTGTCTGTTTGAAGTATAATTGACCTACAAGAGTGATTTTTTTTTTTAATCCTAGGGTGTCAGAGGGGGGAAAAAAATCCCACAGAAATGAATGGAATGACCAAACTTCTAAAACATTGAAGCTGAATATCAAGCCTCCCCGTCCCACTCCCCAGCAAGCAGCACAGACCTCACCAGCTTAAGACCCCAACTCTGAGAACCCTCCCTGCCAGAGGCTTCCTGAGGCCTGTGTAACTGAACATGTTTGGATTTGCCTTGCCATCAGCAGATGGGGCTGTTGTCAGCTAATAAATAGCTCATTACTCAATGGATTAAGGTAGAAAGTGGACCTTCAGCACTCAAAAGATGGCACCAGGCCAACAAATGACACGCCCAGATGGAAGGCCCCAGGGAGGAGAGCTTCTCTAAAATGTTGCCATCTGGATCAACTGCGGGGTGAGGCTGATGAGTCAAAGGGCAGAGGAAAGGAACACCGGATTTGGTGTCAGGAGGTCTAGACTGAAGTGCCTGCCCCACCACTTACTGGATGGCCTTGACAGTGATGCAACCTCTCTGAACTTCGGTATCCTCATCGTCTCTAAAATGTAGATTGTCATCCCGGCCGCTGGGGCATTGAGAGAATTGATATATGGCTGGAACGAGATAAGGTGGGTGGAAACTTTTCATTCATTCATTCACCCTCTGTGTCCTAGGAACTGTGCTAGGCATAGTGCTTGCTCTTGGAGAGTGTGTAAACATAAAACAAATAATCTCATAAATAACCATGTAATTATGATTGTTATAAGCTTGATGGAAGGTTGATGTATAACCAGAAGGGGCGCACTCTGTCCTGGGGCTTTGAGGGAAGACATCATCAGTGTAAGGATTAGATTTTATGACTTCCTAAAACCTTTGAAATGCACACCTAATACCAGGCTCTCCTTTCTCAAAGCTGGTGCCGTCTGGCGGTATTTGCCCTTTACACAAGCTAATCGTTGGCCTTTCAGGCATAAGGGTTAGAGTATAGAGATTTTTATTTCTTAAGGTAAGAATTAACTTTTCAGATAGTATCACTCAATTGGAAATGCAGCTTTTTTTTTTTTTTTTTTTGCGGTACGCGGGCCTCTCGCTGTTGTGGCCTCTCCCGTTGCGGAGCGCAGGCTCCGGACGCGCAGGCTCAGCGGCCATGGCTCACGGGCCCAGCCGCTCCGCGGCATGTGGGATCTTCCCAGACCGGAGCACGAACCCGTGTCCCCTGCATCGGCAGGGGGACTCCCAACCACTACACCGCCAGGGAAGCCCGGGAATGCAGCTTTTGATGGGGCAAAGGAAAGGGCTGGCGGGAAGAGAACTAACATGTATTGAGTGCCTGCTATTTGCCAGACACTGAACTTGGCACTTTATTCTTACAACAATCTGTGGGGATGAGTGTTACATTTGCCGCTTTACGGATGAGGCACCTGAGGCTTGGAAAAGAGAAATACCTTCCTTGCACAGGTTCACGAGGCTTGAGTAGCAGAGACTGAATTGTCAACTAGATAATTCTCTGTCTCCAAGGCCCAGGCAAGCTCTTTCCATGGCCGCCCTAACAAATGCGTCAAACGGGGACGTTGTGTTTCCGGAGCCCTCTGAGATGTGGATTCTCCAGTTTTCCAGATGCTGTGATTGTTTTTGTTGATCCGGGGCACAGTGTACCACTTCTGGCAATCACATAATGCTCCACATGGGACATGGCTGTGTCCTTCTCCCAGAATGCCACGGGGAGGGGGTGCTGAGGGCCCCTGCACTCCGCTCACTGCGCAGAGCATCTGCCCAAATGGGATACGAAGAACCTGACACCACAGAGCTTTGATTTGATATGTTCTCCAGCAAAGGAGAATATGAGCCCAACCACGGAGTTCTTTGTTATATTCATGAGCTCTGCTTTGACCGGTGTGGGGTGGAGGGTGGCGTATGGAGGGAAGGTGGGGGAGAGGGAAGGAAGAAGGAAGGAAAAGACCAAGGGGTTTCCTTTGCCTGGGCGGTGACTGAGGGAACCCCTAGGCCAAGACGTGCATGGACCCCTTGATCCCCGTGTGAAAGTCTAGGTCTTTGAAAAAATACAGTCACTTTTGTCTCTTTCTTCACATCTGCTTCTTCACTTCTGCAGCTGTGGCTCAGAGTCATAACCTCTGTGTGAACCCTAGCTACCGTGCTCAATTTCAGACAGGATCAGGTGGAGGGCAATGTGACCCACAGGAAAGAAGGCCAGACTTGTGGCTCTGCCAGGAACCAGCTCTGGGTCCTTAGCAAGTCTCTGGCCCAGTGTATGCCTCAGTTTTCTGATGTGTACGTTGAAATAAGAATGTCTAACCCCACCGGGGGTTGTGAGTGTAGGATGAGACCATATATGGGAAAGTACTTTGGAAAACAAAAGCACTTGACATACACAAGATGTTCCTGAGAGTGGGCTTGAAACAAAAGAACGATGTCTTGATCTCAGTCTTGGTTTACTAACTTAAGAAAATGAAATCTGGATTCCAACCAGGGACTGTAAGTTCTTACCCAGCCCCTGCTACCAGTTTCCATGGTAACTTGTGACTCTGGTCTAATTACTTGTCCACAGACTCCAACTGCTTCTTCTGTCGAGTAGGGAATGATGGCTCGTCACCGGGACTTTTATAAAGCCCTCTTCATGATTGATTAAAAATGACAATAAATCAAAATCCTATGCACGGGGAAAGTTAGCATTTTAAGTGAAAATAAACCTTGGTGCCATATGTGTTACCTCTTTCCAGGTAAATTATTCTGAAAACCATGGTTAGCTGACACCAAGACTGCTTAGGAGATATCATTAGACTATAATAGCTTAAGGTTTCTCATATCCATCTATCCTTTCACACCTGCTGGTTGGATCCACTCTCCTCTAACCTCAGAGGTTTGGTCCAGATCCTGTTCTCCTTGTTCTCAGTCTGAAGCACTGTCCTCTCTCAACCCTGTGTTTTAAACCATAGTGGGGTCACAGACCACATTGCAGCAAGCTCACAGGTGCCAACCTAAAGCAAATATTCTTCATATCGATTCTGACAACTTCCACCAATGGTTAGGGAGGCCAAAGAGTAGAGGGGAAAGAGCTTTGGCATCATATGAACCTGGACTTCGCAACTCAGCTCCACCACTCACTTCCTGTGTGACCTTGAGCAAGTCACTTAACCTCTCTGAGTCTCAGTTTCCTACTTTTTAAAGATATGAAAGCCATAGAGGAAGTATACTGCAAAGAGGAGAGGGGAGGAATAAATGTAATGAGCTAGGCATGTGAAGAACTTAGCGCAGTGGCTCATAATAAGCACTATGAAAATGTAGTTCTCTGCTGTAGAAAGGTCTTGATTGGCTGAAGGGGGACTATTTCACCCCATAGTTCCTAGTTTGGGCAACCCCACCAGCCCCCCTGGTTTGAGCAATCACACCAAATTTCGTGAACCCTAAGAAAAGAATAAGTGATTTCCAAGTAATACTGTCCCCCGCAATTCTACACATTGGCCTCTCAAAGAATGTAGTTTTTGTCATAACAAGCCAACCTCCCTACTGAAGCAGTGATGCTTTCCAAATCAGTAGACTCAGAACCACTCTGCCACAGGAAATGCCCAATCACTGGACTCTTGGGCCTGGGAGGTATTCCTGAGCTCAGAGATGCCACGTACTATTGGAATAAGCTGCCAATTTCCGCTTGCTTGGATGCTCTATTTCCGTGCAATTGCAGGAATGCATGAGCTTATCCCTCCTTTCAGTTCCTTTCAAAACCAACTAGCAAACAACCCCCAGATGCTTGCATTTCAGTTTGCATTGGTCTCCCCTGGTCTCTTATCCTTGAAATAAGAGTTTGGGGCTCACTTTGCAGTGGAATAAATTATAACTAGGTTACTTCTGTCTGCATCCTAGTTTTTTAACACAGATATGCAAAACTTCTCTTTGATATTACATATCTGTTTTCTCGTCTCGACAGGGTTTTGTGGCGGTTAGAAATGATGACAAGATACAGAGAGAGTCCTTAAAGGGTGTTCAAAGAATCAGAAAATGAAAACTCACAAACTTGGGCTCGCTCTTCAAATTCGGTTTCCTCTGGGGGGCATGGGAAGGGAAAATCCCTCCAATACCTCAGTCATTCCATTTTTATCATAGAGGCTTGATGATAAAATGAAGTGGTACTTAATTCCAATGAGAATTTGTAAAATTCTTTTGAGATGTTTGAGAAGAACACTAAACTCCAAGATTATAAAGTGTACTTTGCCTGTAACTGTTGAGTTGGCTGTTTGTTTTTAGTGCAGGCAACAGATGTGTCTGTTATAAGAAGGATCCCTGGGCTTATTCTACCCTCTGAGAGAACAAACAAGTTGACACAGGCCCACTTCATAGGAAAGAAATCAATTCAGAGATGGTGAATAAGAGAAATCCCATCATAATAGGGCTCATGTAACTAGCTGTCAGCAGAAGATAAGAGGCAAGAAGTGGGGAAGAGAGCAGAGAAATTTATAGAAGGAAGAGTTCTAACTCGTAGCTATTGTCCAGACAAAAGGGGAGATGCAGGGAAGTGAAAGAAGGTGCATGGGCTTCCACCGGGGGCTGAGCAACAGGGTGGTCTTGTGAAGACTCAATACAGAGTCTGATGCTGCACAAAGCACGCCAGGCAAGACTGGAAATGGAACATTTTTTTTAAATTGAAGTATTGAGTTACAATATTATATTAGTTTCAGGTGTATAACAGAGTAATTCAGTACTCCATTTAAATTTGTTATAAAATACTGGCAGTATTCCCTGTGCTGTACAATATATCCTTGTAGCTTATTTATTTTATGCATTACTACGTTTGTGCCTCTTAATTCCCTACCCCTGTCTTGCCCCTCCTCCCTTCACTTTAAAGTTCCTGGAAACGGAACTTTAAACATTGAACTAGAACCTGGAAACATCTCAGCCAAGTGATTTTTATATACAAAGCTATTTAGGGGGAATTCGTAAAGGAAAAGAATTGCCCACTACTCCATCCGACCTGACAATAACTTCATTCTTGTACGTTCCCCTTTTGTTCTCGTCCGTGTCAACAAAAAATATTTACCAAGTTACTACCAAGTAAATATACTGTATTTTGTATACTACGTTTTTGGAAACTAACAGTAGGTCATAAGGATTTTTCCACATTCCTGCATGGTCTTAAAATTTTTTTAACATCAACAACATCTTGAGGCTTACGAGGACAACAAGGAGACCAGGCGGAGGGAATGTTCCAGATGGACGAGAGCTGGAAAAGAAGGGACCAAGAGGAGCAAGGGGAGAGCAGTGAAGAGACACTGTGGAAAACACTTTGGATTTTTTTTTTTTTTTTCGGTACGTGGGCCTCTCACTGCTGTGGCCTCTCCTGTTGCGGAGCACAGGCTCCAGACGCACAGGCTCAGCAGCCATGGCTCATGGGCCGGCCACTCCGCGGCACGTGGGATCTTCCCGGACCGGGGCACGAACCCATGTCCCCTGCATCGGCAGGCGGACTCTCAACCACTGCGCCACCAGGGAAGCCCAACACTTTGGATTTTTGAAAACTTTTTATTATGGCAAACTTACAAATATATATAAAAGTAGAGAGGGACTTCCCTGGTGGTGCAGTGGTTAAGACTCCACACTCCCCATGCAGGGTGCCAGG